AAACCAACTCGGTTCAAAAGTGGGGAGGGGAAGAAGAGGAACAGAAAGAAACAAATGAACAAAGGGCTTTCTTGTGTTGCCTAACAAAAATCTCCTATCTGGGCACTGCAACCTGGAGGCAGGTCCGCTACCCTACACCCTCACCTCTCTCCCAAGTGCAGAAACACCGCCGTGTCCTCCGAATCCTCAAGCAAAGCCCGCACGTTTGAAGAGCTTCTGGAGGCCCTGGGTCTGCTGTGCCCTATTTGTAAGCACGGCCAGGGCTCTTCCGGTGTCAGCGGCGGCCTCCACGCTAGTCCCCAGTGCTGCCTGCACAGAGCTCTGGATCTTCTTTCAAGAACTCCTCCGCTCCAATTCTGTCTCCTACCCAAGGTCTCGACCCTTAGCTGAATTTCAATTAGTTGCCCTGAGGATCCGGGAGGAGACTCATTTCAGAGGAAAATGCCTTCTGCTAGGCAGCACCAATCCAGCCTGAAGTTAGTGTCTATGAATTTCAACTCTGAGAACTGCCACTGCTCACCGGGCCTGGAGAAATGTCTTTTGCAATGGCCCATATTTGCCATACTTGAGACAAGCCTCTCTGTAATTCTGAAATTGTTTCTCCCAAATCTCATTTTCAAGACAATCACTGCTGAGTAAGTTTTCTTCCAAAGCTGCCTTGAGAATTGCTTCTTGAAACAAGAATAATGATTGCTTTTCTGAAAAATGCAGGTTGCAAACTCTGACAGCCGGAGTGCAGGACAGAGGGGAGGGAAGTTAAGAGTTCCCCTCTGGTTCTATGCGTGATTCGTTGAGAACATGGGGCAACAATCAGGGGCGCTGGTCTTCGTTGTCATCGGTGGAATGGGACAGTATCTGGTCTCCTCTCTACTTTATTGGGAGTGGGGATGGCAACACACTGGGTTAATATTTTTGCTCTCTGGAGAAACAGATGCACTTGCAGAAATGTCACTCTTATAAGATGTATCTATTCTTTCTCAAGTACGTTTTTATGGGGGTGAGGGGGAGGTCATGTTATTTTCTTCCCTGAGGATAACATTCAGGAAATTGGAATATTAGGAGTGCAAACCATTAGAGTCCAGGACTGGCCGTGCTGGATAATGAGCTCCTTTTAGCAGGAAGTTTGCTCTTTAATACAATGGAAAAGAAATTTATTGAGAAGTGTCCATGGGGACGGAGAGGAGTGATGCACTTCTGCAGATGTTTCAGGTAACCAGCTGAGGCGAGGAGGGACAAGGCTGTTCTAGGAGCCTGCGGATGGGGGTCTTGTCTCCTCTGCAACCAGCTAGCTGTGGCTCGCAGTTAAGCCTGCCCACTGCTCCAGGTCTTGGGTCTCCCACTTGTAAAATGAGCAGGCTGAGGTACAGCTGTGATTTTCACACATTTTAAAGCAACAGAGCTCCTCTTAGTGAATGCTTTTCAGAAACCAAATACAGACCATGCTGGGAGAGGTACCTGAACCCCACCTGCCTCTGTAAGGTTCTCCCTTCCCCTCACAGAGCTCCCCGAGGGATTCCTGGGCTCTCACCTGCTCTGAGGGGCATGGTGACAGCTAGTAGCTTAGATGACCTTGAAATCCTCTTGTCATCGAACAAGGAGAAATGCTTGTTTCTAATCTAGCTGACACTTGGTTTCTTCTGCCTTTGGAGGGCTGGGCCTTGTAATGCTCAGAGAGGGACCTGTTAAGTGCTGTGAGTCCACCCCCAGGACAGCTGATGCTTCAGAAAACAGGTGACAGGGACACAAGATGTGGGCCAGCACCAGCCACAGAAGAAACTGCTGGGTCTTCCCCAGCCACATCTATCTCGCTGGCTGAAAATGACCCTGTGGCTAGGGATGGTTTTGTGTGTGTGTGACTATAGTTGCCATATAGTTCCTTCCTCTCTCCTTCCCTCCTCATTCATTCATTCATTTCACTCACTAATTCACAAACAGTTACTCATTGTCTGCTTCTATACCACAAATGGTTTAGTGAGGAAGACTGACAACGAAGAGGTCAACAAATAGTCATGCGAACACACATGCAGCACAGTGACGAGCGGTGGTGACGGGGACCTGACTGAAGATGGTGCGCGAGGAGCCAGCCATGGGAAGAGCTGGGAAGAGGATGTCCAGGTGGAGGGAGCAGCGCAGGAAGATCCCCAGGCAGGAAGGAGCCGGGCGTGCTCTGGGACAGAAAGCCCCACCGTGCCTGGTGCACAAGGAGCGACAGAGCCAGCGAGTGAGTGCAACCCTGGCTGCCACTGTCCTCAGGAACGACCTGCAATGAGCCTGCTCGGAGCAGGCAGCCATGCTGAGGGAAGGCTCGGTGCTCACCCCAAGGCGCAGAGGCGGTTTATGCTGCAGCAGAGTCATGGAATCCAGTAATCACATGGGCAATGCGCTCGCTTACTTTCCTTTTCACTGTCCAGCTGCAAGCCCTGGGCCTATGGTGGTTGGCCCAGACGGGGAGACGGCGAGGCTGGGAGAGGAGACTGGTAAACGGAAGCAGAAGCGGGAGAACAAGGCCGTGGTGGAGAACATCCACACCCTCGTATTCCCAAGGACCACGTACAGATGTGAAAACCGAACAGTGAAGAAGGCAGACAGGGAAAAATTGACCCATTTGGAGTATGGTGTTGGAGGAGAGCTCTACGGATACCCGGGACCACCAGAAAGATGAAGAAGTGGGTCCCAGAGCAAATTAAGCCTGAAATATCGCTGGAGGCAAAGATGACAAAAATGAAGCTGCCCCACTTTGGGCACATCATGAGGAGGCAGGGTGCTTTGGCAAAGACAATGATGCTGGGAAAATCAGAAGGCGGCAGGAAAGGAGGAAGACCAATCACGAGCCAAACTGACTCCCTGAGAGAAGCCGTAGGCAGAGCATGGTGGACAACACTCCTTTGCAGGAACACCAGGAGGTGGAACCAATTCAACAGCACACAGCAAAGAGCAAGGGTCCTGGGCTCTGAGTCCATAGGCCTGGGACTGTGGGACTCTGGGCAAGACACTTAACCCCAGTCCCTCGCCAGAGACTCACCATCCCAGGGCCTCACCCAGAGGTTGTTGCCAAGAATAAACAGGATGATGTAAGGGCCTGGCACACTGAAATGGCCCCCTAAATGGTGAAGGAGCAGGAGACAGTTTAGGTGGGAGGTGACACAACAGAGCTTTGTTCAGTGTTTTACAATTCGCAAACCCCTTTCACCCACAGAGAGTGGAAGACTGTACCTGCACCTCCACATCTGTACCTGCACCTCCACATCTGTACATTTACCCCTGACTCCCTCCTTGACAACCAGACATAAATATCAATAACAATACCAAGCTTGTTTATTTCTAGTGGTCACTACGTGCCAAGCACCATCCTAAGCACTTTACATATAGTTCACTGAATAGTCACAGCCCCTGAAGAGGGAAGTACTGTTGTGGTCCCATTTTACAGATGAGGGAACTGAAGCACAGAGGTTAGGTGACTGGGTCAAGGTCACAGATCTGTGAAGTCAAAGGACAAGATCAAAGATGTAACTACTGCCAGACTATCTGCTAAAGACCAGGGCTATGCAGACAAGGAGACACACCCCTGGCTTCAGTGCACTCACGGACCTCGCTTCAGGGACCCAAGTAAATCTCACATAAGGTGCTAGATGTTGCTGTAACCATGGTGGCCAAGTATTGGGAACAGAG